TTAAGTCCACCCTTTGCTTGTTTGCTTGTTTGCCTCGCATATTTGCTTGCATACTTGCATGAATGCATTGCATTGCCATGTCACATCCTTAGCTCACATGCCTAGGAGTGCATTCCATTTGCACGCATGCTTGGCCTCTTGAAATGCTTGTGATAGAGGTTGAGTCCCATTGGTTTGTTTATGTGCATCGCATTCCATATCAAAAATGCACACTTGATTCTTTGGGCCATCACCCATGGAAATGCGCGATTGATGGTCCAAGAACCAAGGATCATGTCCCTTTGAGTCATACACATGATAAGGGATAGGATTGGTGCATACATTGCTTGAATTGCATTGCCATGCTATGCCTTGCCCTCTGCTGCTGTCAACTGCAAGTTCTGCAGACATTATTTGCCGACCGGCAGTGTTTAGTGCCGACCGGCAATCCATTGGTGGCCGATAGCTTCACCAACAGCCGATGATCACATACCACTGCCGGTGGCTGTTCTACACAGCCGGTGGTGTCTCCAAATATCCAGGGAAGCAATTCTGAGACTTTGGCAGTCTTCAAAGAGGCAGAGCAGGGAAAACAGAGGCGGCCTATGCATGGCAGTGAACTTCCGAGCAAGACCCGAGCACGCGCGCGGCGAACCCTCTTCCTGAGGGCCCCTTTTTATTACTTTTCTTATGCTTAGTTAATTTGTTAATTAATTAGGTGATTTGTAATAATTAATTAGCTTGCGAGTTAGTTAATTTGTATTATTCTTTCGGTCCCTCCGAGTGAGGGCGAATTTGTAATAAGTGTGGGTAAGTGTGTGCATGTCTTCCAACCCCCACTTCTTTCTCCCTGTTACTTACTTACTTTGATGGTTAGTAATAGGTCATGTTTAATTTAGCATACCTTATGCTATGCATGCGTGCATCATTCATCAGTATTGCATGCACCGGGCTCGGCGCATCATACTAACTGCATTGTACTTCAATTCCAAGTTGAATACGTGTTAGTTGTATCATCATCATATGCCATCTTAGAATAGCCGAGCTTGTCTAGATTGCATCTTTGCATGTGTTGCACTAGCCATTTTTTAACATGAACTAGGATCATGCATGTGATTACTAACTAGTTTCTGTTTTGGCTTGGAGTACTCTGTAAGTTCTATATTTTAGCATCCTTGCATGCGTGTGAGTGTTGCCATGACAGGATGATTACCATGAGGCTAGCTGCTTATGTGATATAACTACTTGAATGCCTGTGGATGGAGGTTGAATTACCTTAATTGGAATAATGCATTAAAACTGTGAGTTTTAAGCCCACTAGATAGTGGCAAAACTATCTTTTCTAAAAGCCCACTTGAGGGTGACAAAACCTGCATTTTAGCTTACTTGCGAGTAGCAAACAATTTTCAAAACAAACATGCAATGTTTTGTTCCAATTTAGGCGATTTGGTCTATACTTGTTTGCTGCGCGCGTAACATAGTAATTCTAGGCTAAATAACCAGAAAAGAACACATAACGTTTTCAAAAACGGATATCATGGTTAGTAGAGGCTGATCTTCGGATCGGGCGAGAGGGGGTGCTCATAGCTGACCTTCCCAATCGTACTCAAGTTCTCGAGCCGAGGCAACTTTGGTGATGACGGACACGTGGCCTTTGGCACCGAGTCAGGGTTTCCTAAATTCTCCCATTTTAAAATATTTAGGTGGCGACTCTGTATCTGGCAAAGCAGTCCATGTTTGGCACTTCTTTTCAAAAATCTGTTTCTCAAAACGATTTGCCGGATTTGGACTCTTTGGTTCAGATTAAGAACCGTGACACAAATTGAGTCCGAACTGTAGCGAGGGCCCCACGCGGGCGCGTCTACAGGTGGCCTAGCAGAATGCACCCCTGAGTTCATGAAGGTTGGCCGCTCGTGCGGGGGCCCAGACCGCTCGAGCGGTCTGGGTTGAAATGTTGGTCGAAATCTGCTATGATGGGGCAGTGTATTTCCTTGCAAATTCAAGCTTATCTTCATGCTATTTGCTCTCAAAAACTTAACTTAACACTTTAAATGAAACATATTTGGTTTGGAATGCAATTCATGATTTTAATTCACAACTCAAATCCATGTAAAGATTCAATTTCTTAACCTTTAATCCAAAGTCATTTACTATACAAATTGAGCTCTAAATTGTAAATGCATGGAGCTTCTTTCTTAGTTTTCAAAACTTATGCAAGAAACCAAATGAAATAGGAAGGTTATTATAGAATTATGCCATGCATGGTGATATTAAGGGTGAATTCCTTATTTTCTTCTATATACCTACTTTCATGTCTTAAATCTTAATAAGATGAGTAAAACCACAGTTTGATAATCAATTCTCATAATTCAACCTTGAATCTTAAATGATGATGCATGTGCAAATCTCTATATCATGAAAGTAGAAGGAAAAGCGTACCTTGCTTTGATATTTACAGGGAATTCAAGACAAGTCTCTATTTTCTTCCTAAGTCCTTTACCTCTCCTATCTTTCTTTTCTTCTTAATCTATGTTGATTTCTCAAACTCTCTCTCTCTCTCTCTGTGTGTAATAGAAAAAGGCTCATTATATAATCACCTAGTTGGTGAATAGGACACATGTACACATTATTGTATTCATTCTTTTTTTGTTTTACATTTCTATTAATATTTCAATTAACTTACCAAGACTAATAAATCATTTCTAATTAAATTAATTTAATCCATATCACAATATAACCTCAATTACACTAAATTAATTTATACTAATGTAGATTAGGCTTTAATTCCTTTCCAATTTTCTTAATTCTAATTTGTTAAAATTAACGAATCAGATAGGTTTAATTCATTCCTTTATGTATATGTTCACAATAACACTACAATATCAATCAATGCAAGTATGTATCATATGGCACATAATTCACATAACACATAATTACATAATTAACAATATGCAGATAATTAATTTAATTAATTTGTTTAATTAAGGAGGTGGTTGTCACACTAAGTCCTCCTTCATATTTCTTAGATCTTCCTCTTTCCATGCCATTAAATTCCTTCTAAAGTTGAAACATCATTCATTATAGTTGTCTTCTTTGTCCATCATCTCTTTCAAAGATACCTTCTTATAAGTGGAAACACTGAAAAGTCTTGGATATTTTTCTTTAAAATAGAAGCAACCTATCCAATTATCTTTCTAGAACTTAACCTTACTCCCATCATTAACTTTAATCTCAACATTCTCCATAAAAAAATTAAGGAGCCTGGGATTTGATTGTGCTATTGATAATATATCCCTCCAAATTCTTGAACTAGAATCGGCAGCCATATGGAAGGGAAGTCATCTTCCCCAGCTCCATATTTGCAGCAAATCTAATTTTTCCAAAGAGCATCATCATCAGACCCAAACCTCCACCACCACTTAGCAATTAGGCTATCATTTACTATTCTTATGTCCCTTATGCCTAGTCCTCCAAGCTTCTTACTCATTGTAACTTCCTTCCACTTCACTAAGTGAATCTTGCTCTTTAATTCAGTGTCTCTCCACAGAAATGATGCTTGTATCTTATCAAGCTCCTTTACAATTCCAAGAGTCATCCTAAATAAAGACATGTAATAAACTGGAAGGTTGGCTAGAACAGATTTAATTAGAGTCACCCTTCCAGCAAAAGACAACACTCTTCTCTTCTATCCAGCTAATTTAGCTTTGAACTTGTCCACCACTACTGTCCATATTTGATTTCTTCCAGGATTAGCCCCTAATGGTATGCCCAAATACTTGAAAGGAAGTTTATGACTTGTACAATTAAGTCTTGAGGCAAAAACAACAACTATAGCCTCATCAATACCCATTCCACATATTACACTCTTCTGATAGTTGATCTTCAGACCAGACACTACTTCAAAACATCTTAGGATTCTCTTTATAATTATGAACTACACCCAGTCTGCCTCACAGAATAAAATTGTGTCATTAGCGAATTGCAGATAAGTTACATTCACACCTTTAGCCCCAATCGTAACCTCTCTTATCAGTCCCAGTTCTTTTGATCTTGACAGTAGCATGTTTAGGCCTTCAGCTGCAATGTTAAACAAAAATGGTGAGATTGGGTCCCTTGCCTCAATCCTTTTTGGGTTATCACTTCCTCAGATGGAGAACCATTCACAAGAACTGAGACACTAGCTGAAACTAGGCAAGTCCTCATCCATTCCATCCATTTTGTCCCAAATCCAAACTTACTTAACATATCAAACAAGAAACTCCAATTTACTGTATCATATGCCTTTTCAAAGTCAAGTTTAAATAAAATCCCACTTCTCTTGGTTCTTTTCCACCAGTCTACCACTTTATTTGCCACTAATACTCCATCTAATATGTACCTCCCACTCAGGAATGCAGATTGGGATGAGCTAATGATGTTTGCTATTACAAGCTTTAATTTGTTAGCCAGGATCTTTGAAAGAATCTTATACATGGAGTTTATGAGATTGATTGGCCTAAAATCCTGTATAGTGGTTGGATTTTCCTTCTTAGGAATTAATGTAACAAAAAAGCAATTCAAACCCTTCACCATTTTTCCATTCTCATGGAACTTGGCCATGAATTTGAGTATATCACCATTCATAATCCTCCACCCCTTTTGAATACAAATCAAATTAAATCCATCGGGTCCAGGTGCTTTGTTCCCATCACACTCCTTGATCTCAGCCCAAACTTTTGCTTCTAAGAACTTCTTCACCAACAACTCAGCTTGAGAGGGCTTAATGGACATAAAAACTCCACCAATCTTGGGTTTAAACTTCCACTTTTCTGCAAATACTTCACCAAAATATCTAGCAATTTCTTGTTTCATCTCCTCAGGTTTGTTAAAGGTGTTACCCTTGATAGAAATAGAGTCCATCAAGTTCCTACTCTGCCTCTTGGTAACCAAGATGTGGAAATACCTAGTATTTCTATCTCCTTTAAAGCCCAATTAACTCCGGATTTTTGCAACCAAACCTATTCCTTCATTTTTCTTAGCTTTCATAACTCCCCTTTAACCTCCCGTCTTCTTATTAATTCAGGATCCTGCAGTGGTCTCACCTCAGCAACTAGGTCTAGAGCCTGCATTTCCTCATCTACTTCTTTGAGCTTGAAATTAACATTCTCAAAAACTTTAATATTCCAAACTTTCAGTGCTTTTTTCAATGATTTCAATTTGGTCTTTAATCTGAACCTAGCCCAATCATCCACATGAGTGTTTTCCCATACTAATTTTAACAAGTTCATGAAAGTAGGATGGAGAACCCAAATATATAGAAATCTAAATGGCTTAGGCTCCAAATCTCTAACATCTTCCATTAAAATTATCGGGCAATGATCTGATAATAACCTTGACAAACCCCAAAGTTTAAAACTAAACCATTCTAACCATTCTGTATTTACTAAGAATCCATCCAACTTGCTCCATCTTTCCCCTTCTTGTGAGTTGCACCACGTGTACTTCCTCCCTATCATTGGAACATCCACTATTTCCAAATCATTTATAAACTCATTGAACTCATTCATCCCACCATCTCTCTTAGTACATCCTTTCCTTTTAGCTATTGTTCTAACTTCGTTAAAATCTCCCCCAATGCACTGGGCTTGGGGAACTTGGATTTTAAATTGCCCAAAGTTTTCCATAACTTCCTTCTCATACTCCTATCATTGGGTGCATAAACATTAACAACCACACATTCAATTGATTGATGAAATTTACTTGAAAGGGTGATACAATTTTTGTTGCTGCAACAGTCAACCAGATCAAACACCTCAGGCTTTTACACACACAGCAAACCTTCTACATTATCATCTGCATCCACTGTCATGAAGCCAACCATATCATTAGGCCACAGAGATTTGACAAAATGCTCTAAAATTCCTGATCTTTTGGTTTCTTGAAACATGACCATGTAAACCTTTTTATGCATTAAGAACTCTTTCACTCTCTTTCTCTTCTCAATCCTCCACAAACCTCCAATATTCCAAGATACTATCTTCATTAACAACTTGTTTAAACTCCAATTTCTCCAAGGTTGTTTTTTCAAGCAACCACCTTTTCCTTTCCTCTTTGAGGCTTGTACCATGTCTTCCTTTTCTATTAATATAATTTTCTCGATCACCTCTCTTTCCTTACTTTCAAAATCCACGCCCATAGCTTTTCCAATGTGTATTGTTGCTTAAGCTTCATTTTGTAAGTACCTTCTTTTGCTGAATTTCCTGGTTTGTGATACTAATAAAGACATTGCTTCTATTGCAGCCCTAACAATTGCCCCTCGTTGAAATCTATACCTGGACCATGGTTTCTTATGCCTTCATTTTCTTCTTCTTTTTTTTTTTTTTCCCGTCAGTACGCAGCTGCTCACGGCCATGTGTAGCTTGCTTTTCATGCTCCTTTCGAATACGATAGCCCTACAGTTTGGACTCCCGTGGTTCTGAATCTGATTTCACAAGTGCAATGTAAAATAGATAAACACAAATGAGTCCAAATCCGGCAAATCTTTTGAAAAATTGATTTTGAATCAAAATACCAAAAATGGACAGCATTGCCAGATTACAGAGTTGCCACCTAAATATTTTTGGAAAATTTAGGAAGCCTGAGACTCGTGCCAAAGGCCACTTATCCGTCATCACCAAAGTGTCTTGGCTCGGGAACTTAGGTATGAGAGGGAAAGGTCATGAATTGAGCACCCCACACACCCGATCAAAGATCGGCCTCTACTAATCATGATGTGATTCTTATTTACATCATATGCTTTTGTTCCGAGTTATTAGGTTATCTTTACTATGTGATGCACACAAGTATAGACTAATTTGCAAGAGTTGGGACACTTTGATTTTATATTTGTTTGAAAAGTGTTTGAATATGTACCACTTGAAAAAGTAATCTCATATGTACATTTAATCAAATCATCCCAATTTTAGTAATTAGCCATCATCCATAGGCATTCAAACAAGTATATCACTTAAGCACTTAGCCTCATGGAAAACATGCTCGATATGGCAACAATCACATGCATGCAATATGCTAAAGTAATAAATGCTCACCTAGTACTCCAAGGCAAGCCAAAAGAAAATAAAAGAGTTAGAAAAAATGTATGATTCTAACGATATAAAATGCCTAATGCAACGCATACAACATGTAATTAATAAGCTCAGTTACTAATATGGCATGTGAATCAATTTGATAACATGCAGTTTAAGATGTATTCAAGAAAGAAGTTGAAATTTGACATGGGTTAGTATGATGAGCCGAACCTCTATGTATGCAAGACAAGTGGATGCAAGTCATGAAAATGCTAAGAAAAACATGATGCTACACGTAACCCATCATAAACAAGTAAATAAAAAGGAGAAAGAAATGGGGGTTGGAAGACATACATAATTTTACAACTTTGCCCTTGCGCAGGAGGGTCCGAATAAATGTCCTAGCTCATTACCAAATTAACTAACTATTACAATACCAAAATAAATCAGCTACACTAACTAATTATTTACAAATTAGACTTGAGCTAGCTAATTAATTACAACACAATACTAATTAATTACAACACAAAATTAATTAATTAAGTTATTACAAGTTCGAAGGAATTACACTTAATTAATTACAACATACTTAACGAGCTACAAGAAGGGAGTGTGTAGACACCCCATTTTGACCAGCCCTAAGACTTTGGCGCTTTCTGTTGATTACCCGATGATGACAATTAGAATGTGTTCCCCAGCAGTCCTCAATAAGAAAAATGAAATTTGAGCTTTAAACCCAACCTTCACACATTTTTGGCCAAACTATTTTAGACCTTAAGACCCTCTTTTGAAAATATTTTCTCAAATTTTTCTTCGATGTTCCGAGGCTCCCATTTCAATTAAAATATTGCACTTTTCAGTAAACCGAGTAAGGACAAAGTGAAAATAAATGGAAGGGAGGTGAACTCTTTGAAAAAATATTAAAAAAAATCTTCTTTATAGGTTTGGATAGATTTGGATTTGAAGGAAACAAGAGGGGATGGAAGAAAACTAGTTTAGGAAAAGAATGAGCGTCAAATCATTAAGAAGGAAATGAACAACCTTTACTAAATTAGGCATATCTCTTTGTACACTTGGACTTCAGATGTGAGGCTATCAAAATTGGAAAGTAGACCTTTGAAGCTTCAATTTAAACCCAAGAACCACCTAAAACCAAGTCCGAATAAGGGAGATATGCCCATTTGAAGTTGGGCTTAAGAGCAGATTTTGTTGACCTGGTCCGAGGGAAATGAACATCCATCACTAAATTAAGCATATCTCTTTGTACACTTATATTTTAAATGTGAGGCCACCACCATTAGAAATTAGACTTCTGGGGCTTCAATTTAGATGTAAGAACCACCTAAAACCAAGTTCGGATAAGGGAAATATGCCCATTTGAAGTTGGGCTTGAGAGCATATTTTGTTGACCTGGCTCGATAGAAATGAACAACCTTTACTAAATTAGGCATATCTCTTTATACACTTGGAATTTAAATGTGAGGCTACCACCATTGGAAATTAGACTTTTGGGCCTTCAATTTAAACCCAAGAATCACCTAAAACCACGTCCGGATAAGAAAGATATACCCATTTGAAGTTAGGCTTAATAGCAAATTTTGTTGACTCAGTCCAAAATAGCAGCAACTTCGTTTTTCTTGGTTTTGGTTTGGTTGGGACACCCCATTGAGCCATTTTATGATCCATTCAAGTGCACCTACTCATCCCCCAACATCCTTACTCACCATCTACTTTCATCACATTCTACCATATCCACACACCATCTACTTTCATAATCACATCCCACCATCCCCACTCACCATCTACTTTCATAATTACACCCCACCATCTCTACTCACCATCCACGTTCATAATCACATCCCACTATCCCTAATTACCATCTACTTTCATAATCACACCCCACCATTCCTATTCACTATCCACTTTCATAATTATACCCCACCATCCCCACTCACTATCTACTTTCATAATCACATTCCACTATCTCCATTCACCATCTACTTTCATAATCACATCCCACCATCCAAACTCATCATCTACTTTTATAATAACACACCACCATCACCATTCATCATTCACCTCCATTATACATTGTCCTCCATTAACTCCATTATCTTCCCCAAAAATGCTCCACTTGGTCTTCCACTTTGTCCTCCACTTTGTCTTCCACTTGGTCCTCTACTTTGTCTCCCACCATTGCCTACTTGCATTGGCTATTTAATGAGAGCTCTAGTCTTGAATTTGGGATGAATTTTAAGAAGAGAAAGGTAGGGAGAGAATGCCAAAATTTTGTTAGAATTTGAGAGAAAAGAAGTCTTAAAAACGAGAGAGTTGTTTTGCCAAACTAGTGAAGTTACATAGCCTCTTACATCTTACCTCCCCTTGTCAAAAACCACTCAAAGCCTTAATCAAAAAGAGAGTACTCTTACCAAGAAAAGAGTGATCATACACTTGTTCAAAACTGTCATTTTTAGCTCAAATTCTAAGCTCTTGAATTGAGGATTAAGATCATAATTCACAACCTTGAGGGTGATCAAGAGGAAGTTTGAAAATCAAGAAGTTCAATCTTTCTTTGGAAGGTGAATTTTCAATTCTTTCATTTTTCTTGTATGTTTTATCTTATATTTATTTTCTTGTGTTAGTTTCATATTATGTTCTATCTTATATTTGTTTTCTTATTTTAGTTTCATATTACTTTTGTTGTAATCTTGCATATTCTATCTTGTATTTGTTTTCTTGTTTTAGGTTTATGTTAGTTTTGTTGTAATCTTGCATGTTCTATCTTATATTTGTTTTCTTATTTTAGTTTCATATTACTTTTTTTGTAATCTTGCATATTTTATCTTATATTTGTTTTTTTTGTTTTAGGTTCATGTTAGTTTTGTTGTAATCTTGCATGCTCTATCTTATATTTGTTTTCTTATTTTAGTTTCATATTAATTTTGTTGTAATCTTGCATGTTCTATCTTATATTTGTTTCCTTGTTTTAGGTTCATATTAGTTTTATTGTAATTTTGCATGTTTTATCTTATATTTGTTTTCTTGTTTTAGGGTCATGTTAGTTGTGTTGTAATTTTACACTTTCTATTTTATATTTCTTTTCTTGTTTTAATCTAACTGGTAGTTCTTAGTTGAGCCATCTACATATTTCTTATTTCTTCTTTTTCTTGGTTTTGCAATAAGGCAGGTTTTGCTAGGCCTAGTTGGCCGGCCGAATTAGCTTCTTTTAGACAAAACGGCATTGTATTCCGATGTTAACCAACTTCTGGTGGTTTCCAAGGCACATGAAGCCTTTTCTTTTATTTATTTTATTTTGAGTGTTTTGTGAGGTTTTTTATTTTTATTTTGTTATAATATTCTCCTCATCCCTCTTTAATTTGATTTGTAATTATTCTTTCAAGTGTTGTAATAATTCCCCGCCCTGCTTCTTTCTATCCCGTTCTTTTACTCACCTTCTTTATTTGTGAATATGCATTATATTTTGTTTTTCGTTATATCCATGCTTTGCATCCATGTTTCATGCATATTGATTCGGCTAAGTTTGCATTTGTGGATTTAATCAATTCCTATGTGATTATGTACGCTACCTAATGCTTTTGAGATGATTCACACGTCATATCTTAGAAGCCGAATCTTTAGTTGCATCGCATGAGTGAATTGCACTAGGATTTTGTATATAAGATCATGCATGTTTTACTAATTTTGTTTTGTATTTTGTTCGTGGGACGTCAAACATGTAAGTTTTTATGCTTTAGCATCCCGTTTGTGTGTGTTTTTCTTACTATGTTTAGCATTCTACCATGAGACTATTTGCTTATGTGATAAACTTTATAAATGCCAGTGGATGAAGGTTGTGTCGCTTAATTTGGAATAATGTTGATTTTCATATTTGTAAACTCAATTTATTTAGGCTGTACATCTTCAAAACTCTTTCAAAACTACATGAAATCAAGTTGTTCCAAAGTGGGTGACATAGTCTATACTTGTATGCTTCACATAGTAAATTTTAGGATTTATTAAATAATCAGAACATGAACATATAAAGAAAATAAAATTCATATCATGGTTAGTAAAGGCCGATCTTTTGATCGGGTGAGCGGGGGTGCTCAATTAATGACCTTCCCGTCTC